CCGGTGAAAACGTAGGGGGTGGTACCGGCAAGCGTTTATCAACCCTCTGTCCCTGACAAGCGCGCATACACACCGGGAGTGTATACAGACGCAGGTCTCGCCCGCTCTCGAGATACTCTCTCTCGCCCTCTCTATCCCGTGCACCGGTGTTCACCATTGTACACCATTGTACATCGGCGTACACCGGCGTCACCGTGTGGCGTTATAACTCAAACGCGAGGACCCCTTTGACTAGCACTGGGATAGCAGATATTACTTTTATATACGCGATACCACATCAGTTCCTCGAGACAAAGGCGGAGGATATATGACGTTGCGAAACGACGGGTCACAGCAGTTGTTAGACGAGCACTGACGTGCGCTTCAATTTCGCCGGAATGACAGTAATTTTCTACCCCTCTTCTACCCCTCTTCCCATTTCAACCCTATCCTAGATACCACCGTCCTTCTCTTCCCTCTTTTTCTTGTCTCTCCTTTTTTCTCTTTATTAATTTCCCGCTTCACTAGTCCTCGCGAAGTTTCCGTGAGATAGGGTTAAACGACCAACTCCGCGAGGGAGCAACGTTTTTCGCGGTTCCTCCGCGTGCAGCGTAAAGTTTCCTCCCTCGCGGCGTCCGGCAACGTTTCCGTAGCGGAATCTCTTAGAATTCTGCCTCGAGACGAACGGAGTCTCCGCTCTCTTTTCGTAGGAAGGTCCAAGTCGGATATGGGAGTAAAGCAAAGGGGTTAAAACGAACCATCCCCGAGTGACGGTGTATGAACGTGCGTGCGACGAATTACCCGGCCAACCGATTCATCGCGCGGTGATTCGCGATGGAAATTAATTCGTGCTAAAGCGGCTAATAAAATTTCCTCCGGCAGATTTCGCGCTACACGAGAGAGAACAGCGACGAGAGATATGAGGGATCGCGGCCGGGGTTGTCATTTTATCGATGCATAGTAAGGCGAAAGGACGTTGACTAATGATATTGTCGCAGCAACTTATTTGTTATCGAAATTGCCTATTACTTACCCTATTGGACAATATGTCTGCCGTCTCGTCACTATCGCAGCCTATAGCAAGCCCCAACTTCTCTCGAGGCTTCCTATCGATTATTGCCGACGATATTTGCCCCCGCGGGAATGATTCAGCTCGTATTAGAAGATATCCTGGGACGAAAATTAAACGACCAAGGAATCTTTTATAATATATTTCCCATTTTTTAAAAACCCATTTACTCGTTTATTCGATTATTTCTTCTTTTCTTCGCCTTTTTCAGCATTTTCTCGTAAATTGGATCTACCTGTTTATAAAAATAGGAACCATTCTTTAATCGCGTTCTCGGTCGGAGATAAAGAGGATCTATGTCCGTGAGGGACGAAAATTTTACGAAATCCTTGGAATTCGTGGAAACGAGATAATGGAAACGTCTCGACGTTGCTTCTTGGAAATCTGCCCTCTCTCCCTGTCTCTTCGAAACTGAGCAACTTTCCAGATAACGCGAGGAAAAAATAAAGTAGCTTGGCGAATGGGAGCGAAAGGACAGACGAACGAGATGAAGAATGCTCGATGAGAACACGGTTATGTTAATTGCCTCCGAAAACAGCTGAGTCATTCTACGCTTGCAGATAACGTCGTTTAGACATGGCGAGGCTGATTAAACGCGAAGTCAAATGTCTCTGTAAACAACCGAGAAGACGATTCCTCTGACAGCCTGATAACGATAAAATTGCGTTTAGGATCTTAACGGTCGACGAAACGATACAAACATGACTACACGTACGTCCGATACTTGCGCGCGCGCTAGACAGTTTGTTTTCTCCTTCCCCTTTCTCTTTTGCCTTCTTCCTCTCTGTAATTATATAAAACGACGGCGTTCCCACGAGAAAAACGAAAGATCTCGCGAGATGGCAATAGTCGATCTCGCCGTAACGTATCGGAAATAGGAATCGTTCGGTGATTAATTCGATCGTTTGTTTCGCGTCACGTGCACACGCGTGTGCATAAATATGCTCACGGACGAACACAAGTTGGTTATAATTGAAAGGCGAAGCGCGTGTCCCGGGCTTGGAAGATATTAATTAGCTTTCAGAGTTAATCGCGTTCTCCATGATGCCCCGGTGTTCACGGAATCTATGCGTTTTCACACGCTCCGCTGTAATATCTCTGGCCACACTCGATCGACGGAGAGGTCGACGACCCGGCAGATAAATCATCGAAATCGGAGGAATTCGCGCGGTTCTGCCCTCGATAATCTCGCGCGATTCATAGAAGGTACGCCAGTAGGAGAACGGTATGAAAGTTCTGTCTGGAAGATTTATCTATCGACTAGAACGGAATCGATACGAGCAACCGGTCCCCTATAAGGGAACCGATCCATAGAAGGTACGCCAGTAGGAGAACGGTATGAAAGTTTTGTCCGGAAGATTTATCTATCGACTAGAACGGAATCGATACGAGCAACCGGTCCCCTATAAGGGAACCGGAAAGTACCGTCGCGTAATTATTATTGCGTAAAGTATCGGAGAGCTGGCGAAGCGGACGGGGAATTGCTTTGATACTGGAATTGTCGAGTCACCTCGCAGCCGGCTGGTTGAGCGGTTCTACGAATTCCGCGTAGACGTTCGCTCGAAATAAGCGATTTGCCACTGTGTCGTACAAACGGCTGTGATTTGTACGAATCATCCTTTGAATCAAGCTCGTTACCGAGCTGCTTTGGCAACTGTATCGCGTATCTCTCTATGAAATCAATATACGAAACTCCCGCGTCCGCGTTTCATTCCAATAACAGTCCGAGCACGCGTGTCATTCCTCGATACGTTGCATCGAATTTAATTGTCCGTTAATTTCGAGCGACGCAAATATTGAAATTGGGCGGGTAACGAGGAGGAGGAGGGCGGTGGGGAGGTGATGGAATAATTTTCGTGTATTAGATTCCAATTTTTCTACTAGAATCTCGCCATTGCCCGGTAATTACTCGTATTTCATTGTCGTTTCGCGTCGATATTTAATTACGCTCTTCAGACATTTCGTTCGGTCGTTTTTAACACGCGCTAGTTAAACGTTTATTATCCCGTTGCCATCCAGGCGACGATTTTCCCGGGGATAGTTTGCATAAACGTTCGTGCTCGAATCGATTCGTCCTGTTCGATTTCGAATCACCCATGTGCCTTAGATACCATTCGGCTGATCGCGAAAACATTTGGAAAGCTCGATAATAGCCGCGTTTACGAGGCGACACCGGCTAATCTCCGCGCGAACGAAACGCGCGATTTCACGGCGGCGGGTCGCCGAGGAATTCCGCTGGAAATTAGGAAGGATTTTCTCCGCGGCGCGGAAATATGCGGCATATTTTTTTCCATCCCGGTTCCCGTCCGCCTGCTCGTCCACAGATTTGCCCGTCAGTCCCGCGGCGCCCGTGTGGAGGTGCAATTAATCCATAAAATAGGTATGCGCGGTGTGCAACGCATGTTCAACAGCAATTTCATCGTGCAGGCTCTCTTTGTTTGCACCGAAACGGTCATGCGGTATACGCGAGGAAACGTGACACGGACATTTATTCAAAACACCACGGACACGTTTCGTTTGCGCGTCGCGAAAGTGCAATTCGCTCCTAAATCTTTCCCTGCTGTAGCCAGCGAAGATTTACGCGCGCGGTACAATGACTGTTTCGATGACAGCGGGAATAATATAGGAGGAGAAAAAATGGCAGTGTTCATTGAAGGTTCGTCTCGTAAATTAAACCAGGACAGAATTAATTTTCTCCTTTCGGGTCCCAGCGCGACCCGGGCGAGTAAGCAAGGTGGATTACGTTCGTTTATTTTTGTTAAGGGATTATAATGCGTGGAAATTGTAGCCAATGGAAACGGTGGAAAAACTGTTTAGATGTTTATTAACCCTTTCGCTTTGGCAGTTCAGTCCTCCGAAGTAGCGTCACTGAACGGAAGCTTGCACCAGAAATATGCACAGTGCGAGTGGTTTCTGTATATTTCTGTACGTTTTCCTACATGTTTGTTCCGTCCCGGAGAGCGTGTTTAGAATATGATTTTATAATTGAGACTTACACTTTTAACAGACCTAACGGTTTATTTTATATCTTATACCGCGACTGCAATTTCGGAGGTTCGATGTGCCTCAACGCCGTTCTAGCGGATTAAGCTTATAAAGGTAACGCAAAATTAGGAATTTTACTAGTACCAGACGCGACAGATGGGACCCACTTGTGACAGACCCAACAAGCGACGGACGGACGGCACTTATAAATCACGTCATTGACCATCAGAAATCGGCTCCTTGACAGTTTCCTACTCCTTAGCCAAAGGTCCTTATGTCACACCCTCTGTCCAATTAAAACTCTTTACCTTTCCACCACCAACGTCTATTTTACCCAATCAGAACTAAACTAGAGAAAACACCGGACCGAACACGACGAGACAGGACATAGAGTAAAATCGAGAAGTCAGTTCGTCTTCGGCACCGATCCTTAAAACATCTCAATTACACGTACAAACGCGTGTTCGAAACGGTAGTCCGTTAACGTCTACGTTATAACTATTCTACGCTTTTCTCTAAATAAACACTCTCTTTTGACCACACACATTCTGGATCCTTATTATCGCAACTAGTCACGCGATATTAATTTGGCGCGTGATAAGCGTTCTTGGAAATCAAAGAGATTCGATACCGTAGGACGCTACAATGTTAATTAACAACTGTTACGAATAAAATCGTACGCAGATTGCGCTTGTATACGGATCATTTGGATGCCGAATATATGGGGTGCTCGTACCCAGCACTGATCCCATGGATGCTGCCTATAAGTGGTGCTCGAAGCGAAAGGGTTAAATGGGCAAACGGTTAGAACCGGCCTGTCTGTTTAGGGCCAGGCAGGTCAAAGACGTCCCCAGAAAACGGGGGCAGGAGACGAAACGCAGGGGAGGGGATCACCCCCGCATGGCTAGGATGTAGAGTTTATTTCAGTATTTAGTTTTTACTACGACAATTTTATTTATCTTTCTGCCATTTTTATTTTTCCTTTTTTTTTTCCTTTCCTCCTCGGCGTGTTAAACCGTGAAAGAATGCCAAGTGCTAGTACAAAGTGATTCGCGTGCTTGGTGCCTCGTTACGTCGGCATTTAGTCGACACGAGCAACCGGAAACTCGTTGCTTCTTATTTGGCCTGTCAGTTGTACGAGTCTGATGTATCTATTACATAAACGTTTAATACCTAACTTAATACCTCGTTAATTACACGTGTCGTCAACGATTCGCCGATGTTGACTGTTTCCCACGGTACCGTTCAATCTGTACCATCGACCGGTCTACTTACGCGATAAAATATACCCTAGACTCTTGCGCGCCGTTAAAACTACGAATTTTATCTTAAACCGACCGCAAAGAGCGTTGGACTTTGGTTTCATAAGTTACTAACGAGTACGTCGAAATTCGACTAAACAGTGACAAATGAGTACCGTAGTAAACTCGTTACCGAGTCTAAGTGACTTTAATTCGCAACTAACCGCGATTCCACAACCTACAACGTACACACAAATACGATATGTAGTTGGCTAATCCTTTCTCGTTCAACCATTCGCGGTCCAATACCTCCATAGAGTGTACTAAACACTAGTCCCGGCTAGTCTCCCCCGCGACGAGAACAATACCAAGAATTTAATCGAACACGAGAACCGAGCAAACGTCATAGAATATATTATCTCTTTTCATTGAAAATCGTTAATAACGTATATAATTCGTCAGTTGCTGGAATTTCTTATTTCGATACTACACGGATAGAAGACGTGTTCGACGAAATTGTCGGATCTTAAAGCATCGATTACGTTTCATTCCGCGGAATTTGTGCCATTCTCGCAATCGTTTGCGCGCTTTAATCGCTTCTCGGAAAGCGAAATATCGATAAGAGGTATCGCAGCGCAAAGGTCTATTCCTTCATATCTAGTGACTCGTAAATTATAGTAAAGAAATTAAACGAATTCCGCGTTCACTGATCCAGCAATCCAGCGTCTTCGAATTTCTTGAGTCTCTTGATCATTATCCTCCGATAGACCGGATTCTTGAAGCCGGGATTGTCTTGGCCGTTGTCCCTGATCATCTCCTCTAAACTCTGCACGTTGCTCTTGTCGATCAACGCGATCGGCAGGGTACCCATGGACGTTATCAATGCGTACATGTACCGTTCGTCCATGGTCTTCTTTATCTGCTTCATGGTCGGGGGCATCGTGTCGCATTCGAGCTGTTTCATGGTGATCGCCAAGGTCTGCTGGTAGTCTTGGAGCAGGGACTCGATTTCGAGATCGGAAATTTCCTCGCTGACGCTACTGGACAGGAAGTAGTGCAGGTCGACGGCCGGCGAGGAGTACACACTCAGTTGGAAATCCACCTGCAACGTTGATGGAGTGTCGATCGATGTAAGCTGGCGCGAATTGAATTGGAAATGAAATCCGTGCAGGTACGGCTGAACGAAAGAAACGCGCGAGGGTTCGTGTTTAGGAAATCATCGCAATCGAGGGGTTTCGCCGGGGCGGGTGGGGAATGTACCTAAACGCGACGAAGTCGGATTTATTGCATTATTCATAATGCACCGCGTTGCAGGAAGACGAAACGAGGAACGGGATCCTTCGACTCGTGTCTTTTAGGCCCTATCTCGCGATAGATCGAACGTTAGCCAGCTGATCGGACCTCGCGCGACGATACTTACGAAGATGTGCTCGATAGGCTTGGAGTTTTCGTCGTATCGGAACATCATGTTGTTCACCCAGGAATCTCCGTGATTAATGACGTTGAACTCGTCGTCCTTGCGCCGCACGGAGTCCACGGCTAGTTGAAACATTCTCGGAGCCATGTTTCTAAGTTTAACCGCGTACCTGTGGACACCAAGATGGCGGGAAATTCCATTACGTGTACGCTCGATATCGACCGTGACATAATTGTCTGTATCAAGTTCACCTTTTTCCGCCTTCTACCCAATTCTCTACTTCGTTCGCCAAAGACCTGGTTGCGGTGATGAAGTAATTTTTTATTTCTTCCGGGGACTCGTCGTGGAATATCCCTCTCCAGTACAGGTCCTTGTGTTTCGGTTCCTACGAAGGCACGCAAACGCGACACACTGTACCATTGAAATTATTTGCCGTGGCCTCGTTATCGGACCTGGCCGATCTCGCGGTTAGGGTTTAACCGATTACCGATTTACGGAAACTTGTGCTTCCTTACCTTTTCGCACAATGCCACCGAAGTGGCGTGGAATTTCGCCAATCCCCGAATAGCTATCCTGCAGTGTGCCATGTCGAAACCCAGTTGACGATCCGCCATACGAAATCCCATAGGAGCGAGGTCCTCTATGATGAGGCAGAGGGGCCGCTCCATTCTCACGTAAAATACTCGACCACTTAGACGAGAGCCCAATAAGTCGTTCATCTTTTGCAGGGTGTCCGACATCATGGCGATTTCGGTGTCGAAGATTTGACTCTTCGAAATCTTACAAAACGTTCAGAAACATCTGTCGTGAGATACATAAGGTCTGAAGTCACCTATCGATGTCGTTTATGCGATTATCATCCTATGCTTTGCTAGAATTTAGTTCAACGAGATCTCTACGCCGGGTCGGGTAGATGGGAACGAATAGGAAATTTCACGGAAGGTATGACGGAATGTTCCCGCAGGTATTTACCGCTTCTCTCCTGATGCCCTCCTCGATCGGCTCGAATTTGAACAAGAGAGAGGTTTTGTCGCTGATCCTGATCTTCCCGTGTTTCCGAGTGTACTCCGCCACCAGCCTTATCAAGTCGCTGGTGTAGTTGTCACCCTTGGCGGTGGCCGGTTTGGTAAATATATCAGTCACTTGGATGGTGGTGTCGTCCTTGGCCAGTCGCAGGACCCTCTCGGTGAAGTCGGTGTTCAGCCATGGTAAAGTCTCTAGGGCCATTTCTGAAATTGGAATTGGAATTGGAGAATTTCCTCGACAAATCATTGTTCTTCGTGGCGTGTCAGGAAACGCGGAAACGATTCTTTATAGTAACTTATTGTTCACGGCCAGATTTATCACGCTTTCCTTTCTTTCCTCTCTGCCTTTTCAACCCCTCTCGTCCCTATTTTCTCTCTGTCCCTCATTCTCTCTCATTCGCTCTCGTACCCCTACGACCACGCGTTCGCCCCCTCGACTGCCGATATTCACGGGGATCGTTTCTCGCGTTCGAGATCGCTGTTTCAATTAGAAACGTAATGGAACGAGGCGTCTCCTTTTCATTCCGTCTCCTCCTTTCTCCTCTCGCCGGTTTCCACGCGATGCAGCACGTTTCACCGCTCGGAGATTCCATCGAACGCGATCGAACCGTGGTATTTTAAGGAAATTTACGACCAGTCTCACCGGGGAACACGAACAAAGGGAACCTTTCTTTCGTTCGCCTCTCTTTTTTTTATTTCTTTCCGAACACGAAGGTTTCTCAAAGGACGGAAACTTTTGTGCCGGCGAGTTGGCGGACGTTTCAAGAGATTTAAATCAGAGGTCGCAGTGCGAGAGGAGCTTTTTAACAGCAACGGATACAGCGACTTTCAACCTGGTACATCCGACGAGAGTTTCGGTAATCACGCGGAATTGGCTCGCGTGACAAACCGGATGGAAGATAGAGTCGACCGTTCGGAAAAATACCGCTCTCGTCACGGGCTGGATCAATTGCTTTGAAATTGATTAACGGCAAAAGATTGAAAATAACTGTGCCACTATTGAGGTTATCGAACGCTTTTTAGATCACGCGAGGGCACTTAGAATGAATCGCACAGTTGATTATTCCCGCGGAGAGGAACGAAAGAATCGAGGGCAAACGATTATGATGTTCCTCTTTTAGAAATCCGGTTCTCGCTTCTTCTCCGACGCGATGCGTATTGGCTTGTCGAACGAGGCGTTATTACAACGACGAATCCAACGTTTCAACCTACACGAGGCCTCGAAATATATAGTTCAACGACCCGGGCAAATTAGGCTAAGGGAGATGAACGATGCTCTCTTGCTTATTGATATTATTTTGCGCGATTACTTTGCGTCCGTTGAAAACGCGATGTTATCGCGACGCACAATTAGAACGGGAAAGAAATATTCTGCGTGTTAGAATCACATTGGACTGACTCACGAACACCGACGCTAATCGTTTCTCTTCCCGATAATGCGTGCACAAGGCCACCGAGATCTCTCACTTGGACTGTTCCGATCGGTTTCTCGTTTTCCCGCGGAAATTTTTCGTTTAATAACACGACGGTGATCCACGTCGATGCTCCACTTTGTTACGCGAGACGCTATTGCGACGAACCGCGTGAAAGTAAGGCGCAATTGCGCGATGGAAACGGCACAACGAGCTCGGGAAACAGTCACGCCCGTCACGGTTTTTGGCCTCGTCAATTTCCCGTGATATCCTGCACTGATGGATCGCACGGTCACACGCGCCGGCCGGTTCAACGAGATAAAACACGCGGAAGGTTGTTCGTGATCGTCGCTAACCTGCGAAGGGTCGATGATTCAAGGAGCGCGTTCGGTATAATCACTTCACTCTGCCTCCGTGGACGTCTGATACCGAGTGAGGCACACGGAATCGACGTGTCACGCTTTATACGGACGTGCACACATTATTTATACTCCAATCAGAGCTCCCCCCCGACTGATAGACAAACGTCGTCTATCGTTGATGTTGTTCGATAACGATCCGTCAAAACGCACGACGCATCGTTCGAGTTTTAGCGGACCTCGAAACAGCTCGTATCTCGATTTCGCGCTTTCAAGGATTAACGTATCGACTTCTAACCATGCTCTTATCTGCTACGTCTAGTCTCATTAATACAGATAAGACGTATCACGAAAGAAGCATGGGTAAGAAACGTCTCTCTATGTACGGGCGTGGCGAGAATAAGATTCCGGGAAGGTCGCGCTGATCGATCCGAGAATCGATCCGAGAATCGATCCGAGATCTATCCCAGCATCGACCTCGGCACCCGGAATGGCCGATGAAAGCGGGCGAGCGATCGGCGGATCGGCGGATCGGCGGGGAACGGATTTCTTCATTTCCGTAATTTATACCGGCATGATGCGTCGCATCAGCGATCCCCTGATAGTTCACTCGCGATTTGCATCCCGCTCGTCGCGAAACGAGTGTTGTGAAATGACAGCGGAATGCAGCGCGCTGAATTTCAATGCGTCGATTGCAAGACTCGGCTGGCACACGTCGTTTTAATGCAGAAATCGTTCCATCGCGCTGCCTCTAGCGCGTCGCATTGTTTCCACGATTTCGACGGGCGGCGATCAATTAAAGCAAACGATAAATTGCGCATTGTTTTCGCCGTCTGGAGACAGAAGGATTCCGTCATCGATAATTCGCGCGACGCGCTCGAATTATCTCGATGGATCCCGTGGACGCATCCATTCGTGATTACCGATTAATCGACTGGACCCATGGATCCGCTGCGAGGCTGTAATTGTCGACTCGTTATCGCAAAACTGCGCCACGGGTATCGAATATTTACAGCGCTGATCATCGACACGACGCCGATTAACATTGGTAGCCGCGTGCCTAGGTGTCTGTTTCTAAACCGATGTTCTCATGCGAACTTGAAACGTTTACGTAACTCGGCAACACGTTGGTTGTGCTTAGGTTGAAGGAAGTCAATTGGCGCTGTTATGAAATCCCCCTCGGATAATCGCAGGGTTCGTGGCCACCGTACAAGTCACTGTCTCCATTATCGTCGTTACGGACGGTATTGCACGATTTCGTAACAGCGAATGACCATGACACCGCGAATTCGCGCAGAAGGATCCTCCAAAGGATTTTACCGCGTCCCGCGCCATCTTTGCACCATCGAACGTCTCGCTGCCGCCTCTCCGCGTAATCCCTCTTGTAGATAATCGGTTATCTGGCATGCTTGTATCTCGACAAGACAGATGCTCGAGTTAATAAAGCGACGTATCGTAACGCAACGTAACATCGCGTAAAGGTCGATCCAATTCAGAGCATTGGAGAGATTTACGAGCAAATAAGATAGAAATTACGAGAGGACCTCGCGATCGTCGAATGGAATTTCTAGCTTACAATTTGTTTCGTGGTTTTATTGATATGGCGGGGCCCCGTCAGAGCGTGGTTGGCGGACGGTACCCGCAATAATCTGCATCGATTGTCGCGCACACGGGCCATCGAAACGGGGAACTGTCGTTCGATCAATTGCGCCTGGAAGCGGAGTGAAACGACTCGATAAAGAAGCGAGTAGAAGGCAAAACAGGCGCCTGGTCGGTAATCTCGACGAGATAGGAAGCCGTCGTGCTACCGGTGCGTTTCCGTTTTATTCTTGTCCGTTTTAATCGGGCGAAGAAAACGCCGATAAGGGAAATATCGAACGAATTCGATTGGCCCGAATGGCGAGCAGGCGCGTGACCGAAATTATACAGCCGCGCGTAATTCTGGAATTCCAGCACGTACCGGTCACAATCCGGCCGATTTATTTACATGAGCCGATTAAATAGAGCCGTCCACTAGTTTTCAATTACATTATTCAACGATCACTTGCCGCGAATCGTGTCGATCCGACGTGATCGTCGAAAATTCCAATTACAGCGGACGGTACACTCGCTACAGAGGACATAACCGTAGAGAGAGAGTGACGGCTCCTAAATTGTCGTAAATTTTTCACCGCGCGCGTAGTCCGAGCCAAGAGCTCGACGAAAGTGTGCGTAACGATATTTCGCGTGCTCGTGTTGACTCAGGACTTGCCGAGAATTGATTGTATCAACGTGACAAGAACGTTTCGCAGATTCAATATTTGCGCGTGAACGCAAATTTCTCGCGGAAATATTCCTAGACGCGTGTATCTACGATCGCGATGCTTCGGGCCCGGACCAATCGGCACGGCGTCCAACACTGCTTTATCGTCGTTATGTAATATAGTATAAATGTTCGTCATGAGACGTTGCGTTGTTCCACTCGTGTCAGCCTTGAGCTTGTGCCATATACGTACTCGTAAACCTTTTCGTCTGCTCATCGCTGACGATTTATTAAAACACGAAACTGGAATTAAATCAATCTTCGCCGCGCTGAAGGTTAAACTCTTCAGAGAGACGATTACCATCGTTTGATCCACGTCGTCCAGACGAGCGACCTATTCAGAGGTGATTCGTTAATTGTCAACCTTGTCATTGACGTTTGCTCGACTATCGAAACGATTCTCCAAACGATTCTCCACCAGCCACGACCGCGAAAGATCCGAGGAATCTCTGCAGGATTTTTCGAAATTCTTTTTAATTACGTTCGAGCCTGTTAATCGATTCGAGTAATCTTTAATTCCATCGATTGCACGGTTCGTTCCGTGGCTGTGGTCCAAGTCGTCGCATTTGCCGAGCCAGAGAGGAAAAAAAGAAACACCTCGAGATTTACACTCGCCATGCTTTCATACGTGCTTTGCGCTGAATTATCGCGGCCGTTGTGCAATGAAAAATTATATCGCCGTATTCCGAGTAGATTTATAACCTTTTGTGTTTTATCGATATTGCCGTATGGATGACGGTTTATACCGGGACAATATGCGCTGCAATTTCCAAAACCTAGCAACGTCTCCGAGTGGAATCTTATTCCCGAATCTCGAGATAATGGATTCCAAGGGTATCGAAAAATCCAGAAATACGATACGCAAAGTGCGATGTAATGCTGGGTATCTCCGATGGTATATGGCTAATCTGGACAACTACTTTGTCGAGATTCCTGAGAAAGAAAAAAGTTTCGAGGCCAGATATCCTATTATTCGAGATTATGTCAGCCATGCTGGATCGCACCCATGCGCGATAATTAATTAATCAAGTGTGAAACAATTAAAACTATGTCTCGACGTGGAACATCGCGCGCGCTTTTTAAATTTAAAGCTCGAATACGTTCTCGAGTGTTATTTTTTAAATTATTACATCGCGACGCGCGATGCATCACGTTGCAGCCATAAACACACACTACACGTGACCCGGGAAGAAAAAAGATTAAGCACGAGTGTTCCACATTGCTCGAGTTTGAACGCAATTTCCAGCAAGAGAATAAAAAGGAAAAGAAACGAGTGCAGATAGTCGTATCGCGAAACAATACGAATCTTGCGTTACCGAATAGCAAGAAAGACCAGCAAAATTCCATTATATCACGATATATCGCCTACTATGTTACGACCCGCGTACTGTGTATTGCGAGCACGTGTGCGTGTGACCTGAGAAAAAAAAATTAAGTACAGCTATTCTAGATTACTCCAGACTGAACGCTATTTCCAGTAAAAAAAAATGGATAAGAAAAAGAAAAAAAAAAAAATGAAAAATAGAAAAATGAAGAAAAATAAAGAGAACCATCCGAGATAATCGTATCGCGAGACAAAGTTAAACTTAGATTACCGGATACCAAGAAAACGCAACAAAAATTCCCAATAGTGCGACAAACACCGCTCATCCTTTCCTCGAACAGAGAGTAACGAAGAATTCATTAACGGGAATAAAAAGGAACCGTTCCCGGAAGGGCCGTTTTTCCCGAAGAATGAACCCAGGTTGGTACCAAGAACCGAGAGGAGAGTAACACAAACTCTCGTTGACTGGAAGCTTGTAACCCCGCCTGCGTTACTCCAGGCGGTGTATTTTGTAACTCTTTTACTCGCAGCAGGGGTAAACTGCGTAGGAGTAAGCCTTTACTGTTATCGCGATCGCGGAGCTCGATCCTGGATGCTCGGATCGTCCGGCGTGTTGGAATATCGACGTTCGAATATCAATAAAAGCTGCCGCCAAGTCGTCGCGAAGCGCGCGCGATTGCGAGCACTCCGCTTGAATACAGTCGTTACGTTTCCACCCCCTGCGTTCACCCCCTCGGCGTAGACGTCCCTTTCGAGCTCTCCTGGTCCATCCCGCCGTGTCCCCGTGCTCTTTCCGTAGTCCCTGTCCGTTTGGCTCCTCGTTCGAGACAATTGTACGACGACGAGAGAGGCTGGCTCGAGCCAGGCCGACCTTTACCAATTGCAGCACGAATTTCGTAGAAAAGAGACACTTTCGTCGCCTCTGTGGGTAGAGAACGGATTTGCGAGAGGGGGAATCGATCGACGGGGGGACGATTGTGTCTGCGATGGTTTCAGGGGGCAAGGAAATCGAGGCGCGTGTACTCCGTGTCCTTTGAAGTTTAAAGATTGCACGTGCTCAGGAAGCAGCGATGTCGTCGCACGCGAGATTTGTTTGGCGCAGACACGACGACTGCGAGTCACGCTGTTTGACTGGACCGACGAGACAGAGGTAATGCTAAGACAACATTGCACGCTATAGCGAGCTAATGAATCATAAGGTCAGCGCATGGACAGTGCTCGAGCGTTTCGGGAATCAAGGTCTTTCTCTTTCTATGGAAAAATTCCACTTTTATTTGTTTATTTCTTTACTTATTGGGCGAGGCTCGTTACGATAAAGATGTACAAATAAGTGTAACGATTACGGCAATCGTGGGATAATATTAAACGTGCGATGGATATAGAAATTCGGGTGTACGTACGTCAATGGAACAACTGGAGATATCGAGGAGCCGATTACACGTATGTTGATTTAAAAATGACGAAGTCCAGTAACTAAAACGATAATGCCGAAAGCCGAATTTTTAATCGTTTAGGTAGTGGTAATCGTT